GGGCGCCGACTCCGCCCTTTAGGCGGACGACTCCCATTTTTTATGAAAAAAATAAAAAAATATTTGGCTAAATTGGTACGACGACTCCCGCCCTTTAGGCGGGCGACTCCCCAATTTTTTTAATGAAAAAAAATAAAAAATATTTGGCTAAATTGGTACGACGACTCCCGCCCTTTAGGCGGGCGACTCCTATTTTTTTAATAAAAAAAATTAAAAAATTGCCATTGAAATTAGGATGACGACTCCCCTTTTTTTGGGGGGAATTGGAAGAACGACTCCCATCCGACGACCCCCCGACCAAAACGGGAGTCGTCAACTAATTTTTAGGAGTCGTTTTTCCAAGCCCCTATAATTTATGTGGAAACTACCAACTTTCACTCTTGCAGATGTATCTTCTTCATGGTTTCTGTACTTTGAAAATATTTGGCCAACTAATCACCGAGGAACAAAGCATGAGAGAAGCTCAGAATACAACCTGCAAGGCTGGACATCCACCACATGTTGTCTGATGTATGCACTGTTTCTGAAGTGATCAGCAGAACTTGAATGAAGCAGATCAGCAAGTATAAATCTCAGATACAGATATGAGACCAAGGAATGTGATGACAAAACATGCAGTTCATTCCTCATATCTGCTGCAAGGACCTGGATTTTGTAAAATTGATCAGCTCTTGGGAGGATTTTCTGATTTTTTTTATGCCTGGATCTTGATGGATCTTATACTAGGAAAAAGGACTCCAAGAGAAAAATCATGAAGGAATAAGGGTAGCTGGTGTTGTACATACCTGATTATTCCAATTATGTGATGGAAGCAAATTAGCCTTCACTTGGGCAAGAACTGTACCAGGTACAAATCCCTACAAATAGTTTCAAATTTTCCCAGATTATACTTTTCACTTGGGGATTGGGAGAATGATTGACAAGTTTTGTTGTGCCAGATTTCTTAGGAACTGGCCAAAGAAAATTGACAATTGAACAAGATGGGCTGAAACCCAACCTTGGACATAAATACGTAGTCTACTCTGACCCTGGTTAGTATACACATTGCCCATTTTTAGCTCATCCTGTTTTCACAACAGAGCCAGTTTGCAATAGAAAATCCAACAAAGAAAGCCCTTAGAGCATCTCCATTGTGATTGGTAAATTGGGTTTCTAAAATCAACTTACCAACCAAACTCCCAAAAACCTTATCCACCAGTACAGACACTATCTTGAGTGCTAAGCTTAAAAAACACCTTGGCTTGAGTCACTAGCAGGCTGCTACATACATGTAGTGACTCCCTACAACCAACAATATTAGAGCTCTGAAAGTGTGAAACCTCCCTCCCAATCTGTGCAACTTTCATGGCATGTCACAAGGATTTCATGTTGGGTTTGCCAGGTTTTACCACTTTGTCTTGTGAGGTAAATCTGGATCTTGGTTTCTAAAATCCCAAATTAAGCATCCTGGAGTTGATACCAACCACAGTAGACAACAGCGGGGCTCATAGAGCTGTTGATCCCAAACCAACAGCCACATGGCCTGCTCCAAAGCTTCAAGATAGTTCAAAACACACACACACATGCTACAAGTAAAATCTGACATCCCAGCTGTATTAAAAAAAGGGCCTTGGATAAACAACTCCTAAATTTTAGGCGACAACTCCCATTTGTTGGTTGACGTTGAGAGGACCATCTGAGGACCACTCCTGGACCAACTCTGGACCCAGGGGTTGGTCCGGGGAGTCGTTGGACCAATTTCAATTTTTTTATGGGAGTCGTCCACCCATTTTGAAATTTATTATTTTTATTTTTTTTGGGAGTTGTCCACCTAAGATTTCGGAGTTGTTGGGTTCCAATTCTCATATTTTTTTCAGGGTTTCTGTTTCTGTTTCTTTCTTTTTTTTTTTGACTGGGAGTCATCAGGCTAAAGTCTCCTGAC